CCGAGGGGTCCCGGATTGTGAGAGGGCACAGGCCAGGCTGATAGACCCCACCGGTGCATGAATCCATGCACTGGGCCTCTAGTTATTACAATATTACTGACTATATTCTCACTGCAGTAATTTACATTCCATGACCATTTGTAACTGCAATTTTGTACTTCTTAATCTCTTCACCCAGCCCCCCAAACCATTCCCATGTGACAACCACCAGTTTGTTCTCTGTATCTATGAGTTCGTTTGATTATTTATTTTGGTTTTTAGATTCCACATATAAGTGAAATCATCTGGTCTGAGTCTTTGTCTGACTTATTTCCCTTAGCATATTTCCCTCTAGGTCCATCTGTGTTGTTGCAAATGGTAAGAGTTCATTATTTTCTATGGTCGAGTAATATTCCATTGTATACATGTACCACCACTTTTTTAAATCAAATTATCTACTGATAGACACTTAGGTTGTTTCCATACCTTGGTTAATGCATCTGAAATGTCCTTCTCTGTCTCTTGGTATAGCCTTAGTTTTAAAGTCTACTTTGTCTGAAATAAGTATTGCTACCTGCACTTTTTAGAAATCCATTTACATTTAAAGTAATTATTGTTAGCTATGTAGGCATTGCCATTTAATTATTCACATTGTTGATCTTTCTGTTTCCCCTTCTTCTTCTTAAAGATGTCCCTTTAACATTTCTTGTAATACTAGCTTGGTGGTGATGGAACTCCTCTAGCTTTTTCCTGTTTGGGAAGGACAGGAACTTCTTAACACTAGGTTTATAAGATGCCCTCAAGAGTGAACTCATCTGGTGTCCTCTTCTTTATCTCATCCCTAGAATGAGGTACTTGAGAAATTAAAAGCAAAGTTCTTAGAAAAGCTATGCTTGCACTTGAGGCTGGCAATCATCACGGTAAAGACTCCTTAAAACCTCTCAAATCAAAGGAAAGAAAACCGAGGAATGGTGATTAGTTCCCACAAATCTTGGGAGGCGGGCAGGAGGCTGTTAGGCATAAGGTATTGCCCAGCAAGTGAACAGGATCTTTCCTAAGGGACAATCTTATGAAGGTGTCTTTTGGGAATGCTAGCATTTTATTTATTTTTATTTAAATATATATTTTTTATTGATTTCAGAGTGGAAGGAAGAGAGATAGAGATAGAGTCTTTTGGGAATGCTAGCATTTTATTTATTTATTTTTATTTAAATATATATTTTGTATTGATTTCAGAGTGGAAGGAAGAGAGATAGAGATAGAAACATCAATGATGAGAGAGAATCATTGATGGGCTGCCTCCTGCATGCCCCCTACTGCGGGGGAGGGGGGGATCGAGCCTGCAACCCGGGCATGTGCCCTTGGCCTGAATCGAACCTGGGACCCTTTAGTCCGCAGGCCGATGCTCTATTCACTGAGCCAAACCAGCTAGGGTGGGAATACTAGTATTTTCGATTCTCTTCCTTCCTAACTACCCACCTTAGGTCCCCAAACAAAGAATCAGAGGCATGGAAATGTTAAGAGGCTTGCATTATTGTCCATTGCACTCTATTTCCAACCTGCCTGGCTATGGGCATATGGTTCTTTACACAGAAACCACCCAACATGACACAGGCACAGGGCAAGTTCCAGCCCTGGCCTGTCACAGAAAACATCCTTCTCTCCTTCATGTCCACTTCAGATGTTTCAAGACTTCTTTATTTCACTAATTATATCTCTAACCTCTAAATTTAAAAAGAAACTGGATTCATTACTGAGTATTTGTGAAGGAGAATACAATAACTCAACATCTCCTCGCATTTCTTCAGGTGAAAACACTACAGTGCAGAACACTTTTACACACTTTTACTTGTATCCCTTTTACGTTTTATGAAATCTTCCAAACACTGCTCCTTTAGTTCTTGACATCTTCCTTATATGTAGATGGAACCTGAACTTACTTTGTTTTCTTTCTTGTAAGCCAGGAGCTGCTGCTGAGAGCTCAGCCAGATACAGGGAAACAACACTCGTCTGGTAAGTGCCTCAGAGAAGCCAGGAGAAGCAGAATATAATGTATGTTATTGAAGCCACCAAGTCTTTTTGTGTGTGTTTTTTTAGGTTTTGTTTTCACACAGGAAGATTAATTTGACTTCTTTGGCTAAAAGATTTCTCTATGAATTGGAATAAGAGATGGCTTACAGTTGCCTTAAAACCTTTACACCAATTAATCATCATCTGCAGTAAGAAAAAAATCATCTCATTGCTATCTAGTTACTTCTATGGCCACTTAATATAAGAAATGTCATTGAATAGAAAGTTACACGTCTAGAGAGAATTCCTCTATCACTGATGTTCCTAACATATAAAAAACTCCTATGGTAATTCCTTTTTTTCAGTGTGAATGTAACGTTACTTTACAGAAAAGTTTATGTTTCCTTCAATGGCCTCTAAAAAGGTGGTATTATAGATGCAAGAACTCTGTGTAAATGTTTATTTTTACTTTACTAAGTTTATTGGGGATGAGGGGATCAAGAAAGCAGGGAGCAATGAACCACACCGTGTAGAAGCAGCCCATGCATCTTCCTTCTGTATCCTTCATGCCTGTTAACCGTGTTTGTAAATGAGATAATGGCACCGTTATTTATCCCTCGGTCCCATTTCTTACTTAGAGTATTTGCACCCTTTTCAACCTTATTGTTCTGATGTCTCTGTGGCCGAGGGCATAGTCACTTCCCTTCCGCTCCCCTCTCTCGTTGGAATTTCTTTGAATTTGCAACTCCTGAAATCTAAACCTCCCTCCGCTTGCTCCTGAGTTCCAGAACAGTATTTCTAACGTCTTACAAAATACTTCCAACCTAGAAAGTTAGAATATTCCAAACTCAAGTCATTTCTGCCCACCCCTCACCTTTAAACCTGTACCTGCTCCAGGGTCCACATTCAAGGATCAACATCCAGTAGCTGAAACCTGGCATCTCCAACTCTTCCCTGCTGGTGCAGTAGGTCATCAGGTCGCCTCAACTGTCTCTCTCACATCATCTCTTCTGAGCTTTCCCTTGCTCTGATCGCTGCCTTATTCCAAGCTGCCATCATTTCTCAGCCGGATTTCTGTTTGAGGCAGACTTTTAGGTGTCCCAGCCTGTAGCTGCTCTCCTAACCTTCCTCAGCGAGCTTCCCACCACCATCACTGTCTTGTCCATTATGCTCTTGTCTAGAGTCATTTGGTTAAAACTCCAGCTTATTGGGGCATTAAATGGCTCTTGTATGTGAAACCTGCTTGCTGTTTCTGCGTCATCACGCTCCAAGCGCCGACCCATGCTCCAGCACATGAGACCTGACTTAGGCTTCCATACCACTTCAACTCTTCATCTTTCTCCTAAAACTCACTCCTCTGTAGTCCTGCTGCTATTGCCTCTTTCTGCCTCCTCTGCTCAGCTGTAGGAACTGTACCGAGTTCATTGCCTATCCCCAAGCCTAGCGTGCAGACTCAGCGCTCAATACATGTTTGTTGAATGAAGAAATAGATTCAGCCCTGGCCAGTATGCAAAGTGGTTAGAACTTTGGTCTTCATACTCAAGGGTCATGGGTTCGCTCGCCACCCCCTGGACGGGTGTTTGTGCGGGAGGCAACCAGTGATGTGTCTCTCACATAGATGTTTATCTCTCTCTCCTCCTTCCCTTCCTTCCACTTTGTCTGGAAAACAATGGGGGAGGGGGGATATATCCTCAGGTGAGGATTAACAAAAAACAAACAAAAAGGAGATGATTCATGGGGAAGGGGGAGGGGTAGACCCACATGACTTGTCTCCTATGGATGTTTTCTTGCTCGGGGGCCCTATGTCATTACCCTTTCCTAAGCATCGCCATATCGAGTTAAGGGATGTCCTTAGATGAGAAAAATCACTGGCCTCATTAAACAGTGTACCCAGTGTCCTCTGCTAATAAATTGTTCATTCAGAGTGGAAGTCAAAGTCCTGATAACGGGCCGTTCAGGTCCTGCCAGGGCGCCTCACTCCACTCTCATGACCTTTCTGACAACTCTCTCTGCTCCAGCCACGAGTCTCTTGCTGGTGCTTTAAAACGCCAGGCCGTTCCTCTCTCAGGGTCTTTGCAATGATCTGGAACGCAACTGACAGTCTCCTTGGGCCCCTCTGTTTCCTAACTCTGAGCTGAAGTAATACTACGGGGTGGGGAGGGGGGGGGATCGAGCCCCTCTGTTTCCTAACTCTGAGCTGAAGTAATACTATCAAAATAAACCAGTACTCTTACTCCCTAAACGTAAATGCAACGAGACGCTATTTCTTAGTCTACGAAGAGAATCCTAGATCCTTTGCAATCCGGTAGAAATTTCTATACAAAAATTCTATAGAAGACTGTCAAAATAAGTAGTCACATTTGGGTCATCCACTCCATGTCTCTCCTCTGCAGCACGACAGGACCTGCTGATGCACACAGTGCCAATCGTTCCCTATCTTTCCCTGAGTTTTTTTCTGACTTTTCGGAGGATGTCTGCTTTCCCCTCCCGAAACTGGAGGGAGGAGAAATGCTCTGTGATTTGTTGGCAGGGCTGCCCCGTGGGATGCAAGGGCTCTGGGCCAAGTGAAACAAATGTTAATTTGTAATAGAGTTGGGCACAGGCTCCAGCTGGACAACTCCAAGCGACAGGAGAGGAAGAAAGGGCCATAATCATAGCAGGGCTGCGAGTCAATGGCAACAGTTATTTCCACCCCTTGTGAGTGGCTGCCGAACCAGCTCCTTCACAAAAGCCTTCTAGTGGCTACCTTAAATCCATCAAATGTTCTACACACTAATTCTTGCAATAAAATCTATGTATGATTTGGGTATTTTATTTACTTTAAAGGTTAAAAACCTACACACCACTTCTTCATACAGATGTTGCCTTCAGCTGACTGGTAGCCTGAGCAGAGACCACCCACTCCACTAACCCTGGGGACTGCTTTTCTCCTGTCCATGAGGGACTCACTCGGCTGGACCGGAGTGTGTGTGTTCCCCTCCCTGAGGCCTGCGGGCAGAGCGGGGTCTTACCGCGTTCTCCTTCAGTTGCAGTCCCTCCCCATTGGGAAGGGAGGACCGTCTCTTGGTGGAGTTCCTGTTGGGGGTGGAGGCAATGGCCCCTGCTTTCTTCTTCACGGTGAGTACCTCGCAGCTGGCCTGGTCTTCGTTGTGCGTGCTCTTCCCGGCATTGATAACCCTGAGAAGAAGCCAGAAGAGCTGGTCAGACAGAGTGATTCTGGGAAAAGCTGAGAGCTTAGTCTCCAGAGTCAGCCAGGGCGTCTCCACACCTGGCCCGAAACGAATGCCCCGCTTAATGCAAAGGACCTTTGTAAACTGAGTAAACTGATTTTTAAAAAACAAATTACAATCTGGCCAATGTGGCTCAGTGGTTGAGCGTCGACCTATGAACCAGGAGGTTACAGTTCGATTCCAGTTAGGGCAATCCCCAGTGTGGGGAGTACAGGAGGCAGCTGATCAATGTTTCCTCTCACCATTGATATTTCTCTCTCTCCCTCTCCCTTCCTCTCTGAAATCAATAAAAATATATATTCAAAAAAATAAAACAAAAATAAAAACGGATTCTATTAGCACACACGAACACATTAGCGAAAGCACTGTCCTGAGCTCAGCTCACATAGGTGTCTGATAGATGTGATCAACCCCACTGATCCATTAGAGTCAAAGCAGACCAGATAATCACTCTTTTGGCAAAAACAAGGAAGACAGATCTGGGAAGATGGCTCAGGGAATTCTGTTGCATTTCTCCAAGTGATAAAAAACATCACCACCATCAATCTTATCAAAGACCAAGGCAGTAATTGACAGCACACTGTAAAATCCAGGGAAACAGAGAACCACAGTTCACTATCGCCCTCCCCACGTCCCCTCTACGCACAGAGAAGTGAGTGGATCAAAGGTTTACTCTTTTTTTTATATATATATTATTGATTTTTTTTACAGAGAGGAAGGGAGAAGGATAGAGAGTTAGAAACATTGATGAGAGAGAAACATCGATCAGCAGCTCCTGCACACCCCCTACTGGGGATGTGCTCGCAACCAAGGTACATGCCCTTGACCGGAATCGAACCTGGGACCCTTCAGTCCACAGGCCGGCGCTCTATCCACTGAGCCAAACCGGTCAGGGCAAAGGTTTACTCTTTTTAAGTTATCGTTAGCTCTTCACCTTTCCTCCTGGAGAATCCTCATCACCATGCATCACCATGCCAGGCTTCAGGACACTGATGTGTACACGTGGCCACATCATGATATCATGGCTTCTTGACACTCTTTGGCCTAATTACTAAATGTGTTAAGCATAGGAATGCTTCCCAAAAGCATGCTGCATTACCCATATACCTTCTGTATCAGGTGACTGCAGACGGAGCACTTGCGTTTCAGCGCCATTTTTTTATTGAGTAATTAAGCAGCTGCTACACTGGATTTCCCGGAAGAGCTCTCCTGGATTAGCCAGTGGCTGTTTTCTTTCCGAAACTTCAACAGTGTCACAGTCAGTGACAGTGAGGGTGGAGGATACAGAACTCAGTGGCAAGGAAAGAAAAGATGCTTTTTTTGAAGGGGAGAGCAATGGAAATCCCCTCTTAAGGGTGGTGTGTACACTGCTCTATTAATCTGGTACTCCTTCCTAACAACTACAAGACAACTGTTTTCAAACAACTTTTTTCTTTTAAATTCTGCACTAATTATAGATGCAAAGAAAATTGCAAAAACAGTACTACATAGATGTACCCTCCACCCAACTTCCTCCAGTGGGAACATTTTACATGACTACAGTACAATATCAAAACAAGCAACTGACTCACACAAAACTGTCAACCAGACTGCAGATCTCATCCAAATTTCACCACATTTTATACAAAATGGTCTTGAGTTTTGAAAACTGTATACATCTCCATAAGCGAACACACACACACCACAACCAAATGGGAAACGGAGAGCAAACTGAGATGTCAGTGCCGCAAGACCTAAGGGAGCAGGGTTCAAGCACTCTTCTGCCGAACCTTGGGGTTCTATGGAGGTGTCTTATACATTTAACATTTACTTTAAATTTTTTTTAGCCCTAACCAGTTTGGCTCAGTGATAGAGCATCGGCCTGTGGCCTCAAGTGTCTCAGGTTAGATTCTTGTCAAGGGCATGTACCTTGGTTGCAGGCACATACCCAGTAAGGAGTGTGCAGGAGGTAGCTGATTGATGTTTCTCTCTCATTGATGTTTCTAACTCTCCATCCCTCTCCCTTCCTCTCTGCAAAAAAATCAATAAAATATATTTTTAAAAAATTTCTTTTTTTACATGCATAAGCATTGGGGGAAAAAGGCAATAATTCAAAAGTTCATTCCCATCTGTTACATGTGAACAGATAGATATGTGCCGGTTTATATTTGTTGGCAGCCTGGGCATAGTCTATCTTTCTTCTTTCATTGACCAGTATCACTCGACTGAAAGGAGAACTGTTTTGCAATTAAAGTCTCCCCTCCTCCCCAATATTCATGAATTTTGCGACCTTGGATTCAACCAACCCTGGATTGTAAACAGTATTTTCAATACGTGGTTGGGAATCTGTGGATGCGCAGTGTCAACTGTGTGCCTTGTTCTTCCCCGTTCTGTCTGATAAGGGACTGGAGCACCCACAGATTTTGTATCTGCTGGGGTCCTGGAACCAATCCCCCCTCCCCGAATACTGAGGTACAACTGTACCTACCTATATGTTCCAGGGAAATGACCATATCAGTCATCTATTATTTCCCCTACTTCAAATGTCTATATTCACCAAAGCTGATTCATCATTCTTATCAGGTTTATTATAAACTTCAACTTAACCATTTTTTTTAAAAAAAAAACAAAAGCCTACTTTTACTCACTTTACATTTTCATGTAATATTTTTAAAAAGTAGATTATTGCTTATAGAGTTTGAACACCTTTGTCCGGGGGGCGTGTGTAAGAAGCGGGGATCCTTGCCCGTCTCTGTGAGTCAGCTCTGCCTCTGGTGCTGAGATCCTCTTGAGGATGAAAGGATGGGGGAGGAGAGTCCAAGGTCAAGTTTCTAGCCCACCTTCACTGTCTCTGAGGAGGAGGCATTTGCATTTGGTTGAGGAATAAAATGTGGTTCTCGAAGACACGGTGAAGCTACCTGCATGCTGACTATTACTATTACCACACTCAGTACCTGAGCCAAACAACTCAGTCCAGGCTCGGAGCCAGGAAGTGGGAGCAGGGTTCAGAATGAGCCCGACCTTGACCCCCAGCCCAAGCTCTTCCCGTTAAACGTGGAACTCACATCCGCTGGGTCAGCCAAGCTGGACATGTGGGGAAGCACAGGGTCAGCAGCCAGGCAGGCTCAGGCCCAGCCCTGCGAGAAAGGGGATTTTCTCCCCGCTACTCTGGCCATTAGAGGAGTCCGACACGGGGCCCAGAGGAAGGAAGAAGGATGGGTAGTCAGATCTGCTCATCTCTACAGGAGCCCAGGCCTCATCCAGGGGTTTGCAGCTGGAGCTCATAAGAGAACATGCATTCGACTGGAGTTTCCTTTATGTCCATCCTTAGAGAACAACATCGGGTAGAAGGAGGAGGTTTAAAAATACCACCTGCCACTTCCCAGTCACTGGTGGTGAATCCACGCAACATGTGCAGTGGGCTGTTTACTGGATGGGGATGTCATACCTCATGGCCTCCCACGTGAATGCCTTCCCTAAGGACAGCTGAAGTGGAGGTGTGGCTGGGAAAACCAGTTCATAACAACGGTCCCCTCATACTGTCCTCTGTACAAGAAACTCACTGCTATTTCTGGAACTTGGCATCACCCTGACCACTGGCCCCTAAACTTATGCGGTAGTCAGGTCTTTTTTTTCCCCCCCATAAAAAAAGCATCACTGATCTCCAATAGCTACGTGCCAGGCTGACTCATCGGCCACTGCTGTTTTCCAACAGCCAACAAAGCTACTATAATTACACAAATCACGAAGCACTGTCCCTGAAAGTGCTTATCTCCTATTTCTTGGCGGATATTAAACTCCAAAGTTGACTGAACCTCAGCAAGAGACCCTAGAAACTTTATTTTATGTGCGAGAAGCCCGGGGCCCTGAAAGGCGGAGACTTGTGCATGGTCACACAGCTGAATACAGCAGAGCTGTGAGCACGCGTATGAGCTCCCAGCGCTTTCTGCTGCAGCTCTCAGTGGCATTATTTTCCTATTGTGTGTCTATTCTTATCAGCCCTGGTTCAGAGGGCTGTATTGCAATGAATGACTCATCAAAGCCGGGGAAACTAGGAAAGAACAGTCACGGTGGCCTTACTTGGCCATTTCATGTTGAATACCGCCTGTGAATGACACTAATGAAATATCACAAAGTCAGAAATGGCAACCCGGTGGGAAGGGAGCAGCTCCAACCCTGAAGAATAATCAGGTCTAACCTGATTATTCTTCAGATGATAAGGTCATATTAAGTGAAAGCCACTGCCTTTTTAAAAAATACAACTCTTGGTCTGGCTGCTGTGGCTCAATAGTTGAGCATCGATTTATGAACCAGGAGGTCACGGTCTGATTCCCGGTCAGGGGTGGTTGTGCGTCTATCTATGAACCAGGAGGTCATGGTCTGATTTCCAGTCAGGGCACATGGCCGGGTTGGGGGCCTGATCCCCAGTGTGGGGCATGCAGGAGGCAGCTGATCAGTGTCTCTCTGTCATCACTGATGTTTCTCTCTCTCTCTCTCTCTCTCTCTGCCTCTCTGAAATCAATAAAAATATATTTAAATAAATAAAAAATACAACTCTTATCCCATATTTTATATTATTTCAAATTCCTTACTCCATACAGACTTAGGAGAAAGTCCTGATTCTTCTCAATTTACTTTGCTTTAAAGAGCTTGACCTCTATCAACTTACCTATTTGATTTTGTTCAAAGGCAAAGGCTTTATTTACTAAATGTAAATGAAACCTTTAGTTAAGTATAAATTGAGGAAAACTTTGCTTCCAAGCTAAGGAGTATCATGCTGTTATAGCTTTGTCTTTAAATGGAGGCAGCTGTATCAGTAGCAAGCTCCCTTCTTGTCCTGTGCTCCAGCGTGAAGTCAGCACTGTCTTGTGTCTTGAGATAAACCGGAATGACTATTAAATGTGCATTCTTTTTTTACAAAAGAGACTTTTTATTGATTTTTAGAGAGAGAGAGGAATGGAGAGGGAA